CAAAGGTCTTGACAATTCTATTCGTTTCTGTAACTGCATTCAGAAAAGGTCCCTTAACAGCATATCCACATGAGAAGCAAAGAATCACTGAACAATTTCTGTATTATTCAGTACAAGTGCAAAATCCATCAGTCGCTGTCAATTTCATTGGCATAATGAGGGAAATGCTGTCAATGCCATTACACTTGCAAACTCCTAGCCACTGTGTCTTTGCATCTGACACTCTGCTGATTTAGGAAGGGTTGTGAGATGCAGAAAGGAGCCAAACTATTGTTTGTCCCCAAGACACTAGAAAATATAGAAGGTTAATTGTCACACCATATGTTTTGTCCAAGCTGTCTCCTCCCGGAGACTCAGCTCATTTATAAATATGGAACTTTTTATGCTCTTAACATTTTCAATCACTCTGAAGTATAAGGCAGGCAAGTTACTGTCACTGTTCATGTTTGTTGGTGATTCCCTGGATTTTGCTTTGAAATGACTTTTTATATTGGCTGCACACAAGGAACCCAATATTGCCGTCAATCTATAAACTTCTAGCAATGTATAGGAAATTTCTGCTATCAGTAACGTGAAGAGTTATGACAGAACTCAGTTGAAAACTGTGGCTTATTCCAATTTGCCAATATGTAATCGCAAAGTTGCAGGAATGATTAGCCAGATCCGTGTAGAGAATTGCACTTATTGGTATAATAATTTATTAAAAGGAAATCAATTATTGGATTCCATAAAGGGGAAAGGGAATAAAGAGCATCTGAATAATAATTAATTCCATATTTGATGTCAAGCAGCTCAAAAAGTAGTATAATAGCCTCGGAAACATGATACAATTAAAGCTAACCTGTAACAAATTCAGAAAGGGAAAAACAAGGTAGGAAATTTGATTTCTAGATAAAGACTGCTACTGCACTTGCCCAAGAGGCATCAACTACATGGACTGACTCCTCCAATACAATCAGTTTTTATGATATTGTCTCATTTACCTTGTGTAAATTTCCACATTATTTGTACTTCATCAACTTGCTACAGAGGCAAAATGATAAAGTGTGGTATATAGAAGTATTCATTGTCCTTTATATGTGCAGCTTTTACCCTAGGTTCACACATTGCTGAGATCTTTTTTTAAGAGAAACTGAAACATTTTCGACAGTGCAGTCCTCAGTGCAACATAGTTCAATATGAATGGACTGTTCGTGGCTTCTTCGTCACTTGGGAAAAGATATGGAACACTTTCCACTGTGACATGACATGTTATTTATAGCTTATTTGCAATACAAGGTCATATAATTTATACAGCATAATATAACACTGATATGATGTAATATGGCCATCATCCTGAGTAACAAAGAAAAACCACAGGTGAGATGACTAAGCAACTCTTGAGCAAGAGTGAAAGTCATGATCAAGCTCTTAAACTAGTCTCACTGGGCCTATTGTGACGTAACTGGAATGAAACACAAAATAACACGCAGCTAAGGTGAAAGGTATAAATACATAAACTATAAAATGATTGGAATTTCAGTAAAGAGAGAAGCCCATTGTTTCCATGTCAGTTACCAATGGAGCTATCTGCAGTAATCTCAAAGTAACTAAAACAGATTCATTCACTGGATTCATGCATATGCTTACATCTTCCGGTCTGCATTTTTCTTTAACATGGAGCTGAAGTTGTTTAAGAACAAAATATGCCCATTTTAATGAGGTTTAGGAAAAATGGAATGCTTCGCCATTTTGTATCAATTGTCAACATTAAGTACAGTTTGACCAGATATGGCATAGATTAGGTGCATAAGTAAGAACCCATGAAATAGAGTCCTCACCACTTGGCTGGATGAGTGTGACTCCAACAACACTTAAGTTTTTTTTTAAATCATCAAAGACAAAGCAGCCTGCTTGATCGGCAACTAATTCACCAACTTAAACACTCACTCCCTTGACTACTGGTACACAGTGGCCGCCCTGTATGCCACTGACAAGATGCACTGAAGTTCCACAACTAGCCTCCATCAATAGCATCCTCTGAACTAGTCACCTCTACCATCTAGAAAGACAGTAGCAGCAGGTATACAGAACAGCACAACCTACAGATTCCCATTCAAACCACACGCCATCCTGAATTGGAACTACATCGCCGTTCAGTCACTGTCATGACATTAAAACACTGAGTTCCCTTCAGCAGCATTGTGGGTGCATCTACATTATATGGACTCCCACATTCAAGGCACCATCACACAACCAATTTCTCAGGAACTATAGTAGATGAGGGAGGCGATGGCCTAGTGGTATTATCGCTGGACTGTTGATCCAGATAAAGTTCTGGGGACCCAGGTTTGAATCCTGCCACAGCAGATGGTGGAATTTGAATTCAGTAAAATATTTGGAATTAAGAGTCTAACGATGACCATGAATCAATTGTTGGGGAAAAACCCACCTGGTTCACTAATGTCCTTTAGGGAAGGAAACTACCATCGTCACCTGGTCTGGCCTACATGTGACTCCAGACCCATAGTGATGTGGTTGACTCTTAACTGCTGTCTAGGTAATTAGGGATGGGCAATATATGCTGCCTAGCCAGTGATACCCTCATCCCATGAATGAATAAAGGATGAGTAACAAGCACCAGCCTAACCCTCATCTCATGAAAGAATCTTTTTTTTAGAATAGATATGCCACCCACAAAGCCACATGTGTTGAACTACAAAGTCTATCCAGTATCCTGTGAGAAAGTATACTCCCATTTGCTGCCATTAAGAGGGCCATCACCTTCTTTATGGATCAGAGGATGGTAAACTGAAGCATGTTATTGATGTCACCTGCTCCATCTGAAAGGCAGTTAACAAGAGGAATTTCATGGCCACAGTCACCTTCACAGCCATCCTTACCCTGTTAAGATCCTGAAAGCCCAATTCCAATGGTGGTAAATTTCCATGGCCACCTCCTTTGTAAAACACAGATACTGCTCCTGACTTAGGTTGGGGTAAGAAAGAAAATACTGTTAGAAGACACTGGGTGCACAAGGCCTCCTGGTGAGAGTCTGTTATCCCCCTTCTCCTCCTCCTGGTCTCCTGCATTGCCTCTGTTTTGCCCTCTGTCATACTGCTGGTGAAGAAAGATGGAAATTGTCGCTCTTATATCTGGTAACAAATGTTCCAAACAGAGCCCTCGAAGCCAGAATTACTGCCTTCTCCACATGTAGCACTGAAACTATGAGTAATAACGAGCTACATTGTGGAGCCATGGACAGTAGGCCCATCCTACTGTAATGTCCTGTAATGTATCCTGTAATGTCTGACAAAACAATCATCAAAGTACCAAACAATCAAGTAAAGTAGGCTGGCCACCTTCTGAAGGCAAGTGAAGGAACAATGTATTCTTTAGGCAGGAAGATGAGCGATTTGTAGGGGAAATGGTGGTATTTCCAGGCATCTCCTGTTCTTGTTCTACTTGGCTGATGATGGCATGGAAGGTGCTGTCGTAGGAACATGGGACTCTGGAGCTGGCATAGGCTATTTGGCCCTTCGAGCCTGCTGTTTTGTAAAACACTGCAGAGTTGCTGGTGAATGGGGTGTTAAGCAAGTAGTCTGTTTCATTCTGGATGGTACAAAAACAGAAATTGCAGGAAAAGCTCAGCAGGTCTGGCAGCGTCTGTGGGGAGAAATCAGAGTTAACGTTTCAGGTTGACTGAGCTTCTTGAGTGTTGTTGGAGCTGCACTCATCCAGTCAATTGAGAAGTATTCCATCATACTCCTGACTTCTGCCTTGCACACAGTGGACAGGCTTTGGGAAGTCAGGAGGTAGGTAGTGCCCTGCAGAGCTCCTGGCCTCTGATCTGCTCTTGTAGCCACAGTATTTATGCAGTTGATCCAATTAGGTTCCTGGTTAATGGTGACCTCAGGAAGTTAATGGTGGGGAAATTTACTGATGGGAAACCCATTGGGCATCAAGGAGAGGTGAGTCACTGTTTGTCTTGTTGGAGATTATGTTATCTGACACATATAAATCTTATGTGTCCGAGTAAAAGGCACATGTCATAGATTACCCATCAAGGCCACTTAAGCACCAAAGGACATTAACTGTGCTCTTACCATTTTTTCCCACAGGTCATGGAACAACATAACAAATGCCAATAAGGTACAATGAAAAAACAAAAGTGACATACACCATTAGCTTTTGTAATTATTCACATTGATTTATATTTTAATTGAGGTGTGTAAGATTTTGAGGGACACAGGCAAGGTGGATGGAAAGCAGCTGTTCCCCTGAGATGAAGGGTCAACAATAAAGGCACACACTTTCAAGGTGAAAGGCAGGAAGTTTAGAGGGGATTTGAGGAAAACAAATTTTCACCTAGAGGGTGGTGGGGGTCTGGAACGCACTGCCTGGGAGGGTAGTTGAGGTGGGAAACCTCACAACCTTTAAAAAGTACTTGGATGAACACTTTAAGTGTCATAACATTCAAGGTTATGGGCCTACTGGCAGAATGTGGGGCTAATGCAGATAGAAGTGTATTTTTGCAGGTATAGAATGGATGGACCAAAGGGTCTCTTCTGTACTGTACGATTCCCTGCCTCTCTTCATTGAACTTCATTCAACCCTGAACTACATCAATGTTAGTGAATCTTTTTTGCAATCACTAGCTTGCAACCACTAGCCCACAACACAGATGGAATCTCTATCCCCAGTGGTAATGTTAGAATTCACCTTCTCCCTTTCAGTCTTCTGTGCCTCGAACACTGTTTCATATGGGAAACTAACAACCCCCAACTCCGCCTGGCTCTTTCTATTTATTTCCGGAGATTGAATAAATTTTCCCCTCCAAAAAACAACAATTCTGTACTGGGATGTGAAATTCCCCTATTTCCCATCTTGTTTTACCGCAGAAATTCAGACTTGTAGCAACAATTCTCAAACCATTCACCAAACTCAGTGCAATCCGCTGCTGAGATTGCAACAGGTAGTTATTTGCAATTTATTCTGTCACTGTAAAAGTTTCCACTCACCGCAAAGAGATCGAAGACGATCACCCATCCCCAGCCGCCTTCAGGGGGTTCCCGTACTCTCTGGTGTTGGGAGCCTTTTGGACCACACATTGTGTTGGCTCCTGTTTAATTTCGGTTTGTGTTTTTTTCTCTCTCTGTGAGCTGTCGCTTCTTTCTCTCTCTCTGTTAAATTCCTCACCGGACTCTCTCCAGCTTGTCTCTAACAGATTCTCTCCCCTGTTCCACAGGCACAGCCTACCCCTAGTGGCTGAGGTAGACAAGTCCACTCCAAACCAACTCAAAACATACTTCCCGAAAACAAGTTGCGAGATGGGATTAGCCATCATTCAGGAAGTAAAGTTTTTTTTTAAATTCATGAACAGGATATTGGTTAAGTCAGCATTTATTTCCTACCCTTAAGTGCACACAGGGCAGTTGAGATTCAACCACATTGCTGTGGGTCTGGAGTCACATGTGGGTCAGATCAGGTAAGGATCGCAGTTTCCTTCCCTAAAGAACATTAGTGAACCAGGTGGGTATTTCTGACACTTGACAATAGTCATCACTAGACTTGTAATTCCAGATTTTTTTCAAAAATTGATTTCAAATTCAGCATCTACTTTCTCAGGATTTGAACCCAAGTCCCCAGACCAATTCCTGGTTTACTGGATCAATAGGCAAACAAGACTATCACTCAGCCAACACCTCCTCATCATCTCCAAGCTGCTGCAATGAGCTAACCCAAGTCAAATCATGAAAACATTAAAATCTTTATCACCTTTTTTTCTCTTAAAGTGTTCGCATTAGAGGGGGAAAGAGGAGGCACTCGGGTAACTAAGAGTGAAGACTGTTCCAATCGGACAAGAGTACCTTTTCACCTTCCAATTGGTTAATGTGATGGGGTACTTGCAGATGTGGCTGACCAATAGCGGGCATGTGATGACAGGCCAGTTGGTGTTGGGATGATGTGTCTGATGAATCAATCCATGCCCATATGCAAAGAGATATGGGCAATATTCAGATTTGGGCATTGCTGAGTATCTCAGCACCTCTTAAGTTCTGTACAACCAGACATCTATCCAGTTTGGGTTGTAAGTAAGTAACATCACAACATACTTGACTTTGCAGGGCTAAAGGAAAAAGGGACACACTGGATTGCTCTACAGTTTGCATTTAATGGGCCAAATGGACTCCTCCTGTTTAACAACAATCCTATGACTATGACATCTATTCTATAAAATATATGCTTTACTTGGACACATAGAGGCCCCGTGTATCAGGTACTACCATCTCCAACAAGAGGCAGAGTAACCACCTCTCCCTTACATTATCATCACTAAATTCCCCAAACTTCAACAACCTAAGTTACCACTGACCAGGAGCAATTGGATCAATTATATAAACACTATGGTTATTGGACCAACTCAAAGGCTTAGAATTCTGCAACAAGTAATCTTCTGACTCCCCAAACTCTGTCCATTATCGACAAGGCAAAAGTCAAGAGTCTGATGGAACACTCTTCATTTTTCTCGATGAATACACCTCCAACAACTTTATTTGCAATCGCAAGCTTTCAGAGCTCAGCCCCTTCCTTAGGCATAGAATGAGTCCAACACTGGCAACTCCACATCATGGCCTCCAACAACAATTAAGAAGCTCAACACCATACAGAACCTTCAAGAAGGTCTTGTGGCAGAGTGGGTAATGTTCCTTCCTCTAATACTAGGGGTATAGGTTTAAGGCGAGAGAGGAAAAGCTTAAAGGAGATGTGCGAGGCAAGCTTTTTTACACAGAGGATGGTGTGTGCCTGGATCGTGCTGTCAGGGGAGGTGGTGGAAGCAGATATGATAGCAAAGTTTAAGAGGCATTTAGACAGACACGTGAACAGGTAGGGAATAGAGAGATATGGTCCAAGTGCAGGCAAATGGGATTGGTTTAAAATGGCATGGTTGGCACAGACATAGTGGGCCAAAGGGCTTGTTTCTGTGCTGGACTGTTCTATATTCTACATCAGAGGTAGTTCTGAGTTCAATTCTCACTCCAGGACTTTACAGCCAAGGAAGGTGTATTCATAACATAGCCAGGTTGACTATCAACTTGTAAACTCTTCCAAACATGCCGATGGGAGTAAGAGTGGGGGAGATTCCTGGGCTGTCCAGTGATGGAAAGAAATTAGAACTGCTCTTATTAATATGCACAGTTCAAAGCTTCATTATGTACTTAAAGTATATGTTGCCAGAGCAACTGAACATTAAACCACATGGCAGCAACTATCCTCCTCACATCTTTTTCATAAAATTACACTTTTCTTGAGTTTCAATGAGAATTTAGAATTGAACAGTGGATAATTGTAAGAATTGAAATGGATTGAATTGAATGATTCATTGACACATGTGAAAAGCGTTAATGGTCACCACAATCTGATGCCATTTTGAATTACTGTATATATGAAAAGATATTACTAAAATAGAATTCAGGAGGTACTTTATGTTATGATTTCTGTGCCATGCCAATTACTATATTGAATTCTTTGCTTGGTTGTTCCAATGTTATGAATTCTAAACTAACAACAATGGACCTTGCTGACATTAAACGCAGGGACCAATTTCCTACATTAAAGTATTAGCCAAAGCAATGTGCACATGACATTTCACTCATTTATTGTGAGACATAATTACATTTACAATGCCCTCAGATTATTAGAAAAGTACACTAGGGAATAAATTTGTCAAGAAAAACATGCAATGATTCACCCTGTATACAAGGACTACTACTGACAAATGCATGTTACGAAGGACAGAGAGATCTCTGTGTGGAAATGTTTGCTGAGCATAGGATGCCCCATGGTGGCTAAACTATAATGAACTCATATCTTTGCCACATGTATGTTGCATGTCAATCAAAGAGTACAAATGTGCTATTATACATTTTATGTTAAGAGATTAATTGTGATTAATATCCTTACAACTACGCCACATGGTGTTTTACATGTAACTGGACTGAGAACAGATAATGTAACAAAAGGTTGGTGGTAGTAGAGTGAAAATATTTTGTTCTCACAATGAATTTGATTGGCTGAATCTTAACCAGAAACCAGCTATGTGTCAATATTGGTGAGTTTCATGGAGGGATTCTCTCCATGAGCCCGAGTAAAACTTCTCGTGCTTCTCAAACTTGCCTCAACATCTACGGACCATGACTCTCTGGTACCCTGCTTCTCATACTCTCCCAATCACCACAGATGGAGGTACTGGCCACTGTAGGGACCTCCTGTGATTCCTGCACTGGCACCATCTTTAAAGCCCAGATGTATACCCATTCAAATACTGACAGTTCATAGCTGCCCTGCCAATTCCTATCAATTGCCCAGACGTATCAGCCGGGGGCAATTAGCACCCCACTTTGCCAATGGGGGCCTGGAGTTCCTGGTGCTTGGGGGATTGTGTGCAGTTTTGCCCATGGAACACAACTGAGATGTTGGTACCTGGTGTCCAAGAAGGAAGAGCAAGCAGCAAGCTGGAATTACCAGGAATGTCAGGAATTATCACCATCTAGTTTCCAGCTGGTGGATGGAAAATGGGAAGCTACATATTAATAAAGAGAGATGACATAATAACAAGCAATGTTCATGAATGTTATTCAGGTGTGTGGGAGGGAAGAGTTACCTGGATGCGGAAGATAGTCGCACCCGTTAGATTAACTTTGAATTCGTTCAGTGATCAGGGAAAGGAGGACGTGACTACGAGTGAGGCAGGTAGATGGCTCAAGGAGGTAGTGCTGAAGGAGTCTCAGCTCTTGAGTTTATCTAACAGGTTTGAGATTCTGTGTGGCTGTAGGGGGGATGAATAAACTCACTATAGCACTGTGATACAGGGGGCCATTCAAGTGTGGGGAGAAAACTGAAATGTAGCTGTAATCGGGAATAATATAGTAGGGGAATTGACACTGATTTCTGTGGCCAGAATTGCAAGTCCCAAAGACTGGGTTGCCTGCCTGGTGCCCCGGTTCAGGGTGTCTCATCTGGACTGCAGAGGAATTTGGAGTGGGAGAGGAAAGACCCAATCGTCTTAGTCCACTCAGGTACCAACGATATAGATAGAAAGAGGAAAGAGGCTCTGCTGAGGGAATATGAGCGGCCAGGGGCTAAATTAAAAAGCAGAACCAAAAAGGTAATAATCTCTGAATTGCTAACTGAGGCACAAGTTAATTGGCACAGGGTCAACAAGATTAAAGAGGTAAACAAGTGGCTCAAGGGTTGGTGTGGAAGAAACAGATTCAAATTAATGGGGCATTGGCACAAGGACTGGGGAAAGGAGGGAACTGTTCCACTGGGGGACGCATCACCTGAATCATGGTGGGATCAGAGTCCTGGTGAATCACATAAGTAGAACTTTAAACTAAATAGTGGGAGGTTATTTGGTTACATGGAAATTATAGAAAATGTTAAGTGGGGTGGGGAGGGCTCAGCAGAGTTTATTAATATTTCCAGAACAAGTAATAGGACAATCAATATGGAAAGGCTCAGAAATCTAACTTCAGGCACAGCAGTTAAGAGAACAACTATGAGTAGGGGGTCAGTCAATGTAGGACTGAGGGTATTGTGTACACAGTATAGTAAATAAGGTAAATGAGCTTGTAGTTCAGTTTGAAATTGGCAGGTATGATGTTTTGGGTATCACAGAGATATGACTGCAGGGGGAACAGGGCTGGGAACTAAATGAGAAAGTATACAGATCCTACCGAAAAGACAAGCAGATGGATAGAAGGGGCAGGGTTGCCAATGAGAACTGAAATTAAATCAATAGCAAGGTGTGATATAGAGTCAGAAGGTGTAGAATCTGTCTGGGTAGAGTTGAGGAATCGCAAAGGAAAAAAATGCCTGACGGCAGTTATGTACAGGCCTCCTAGCAGTAGTCAGGACGTGGGGAAGAAAATCAATCAGGAATTAGAAAAGACATGTTAGAAAGGTACTAATACAATCATCATGCAAACTTCAATATGCAGGTAGACTGGGAGAATCAGGTTGGTAGCAGATTCCAAGAAAAGGAATTTGTGGAATGTCTCACAAGATGGTTTTTTTGAACAGCTTGAGGCAAAGCCCACTCGGGAACAGGAAATTCTGGATGTGGTCATGTGTAATGATGTAGACTTGTTTAGGGAGCTTAAGGTGAAGGACCTCCTAGGGGGCAGTCACCATAATATGATAGAATTCATCCTTCAGATTGCATTAGATGGAACGGTAATACAAT